TTCCAGAGTTTCTGGTTCAAGGGATGCAATATAGAGAGATTTAGGGTGGGACTTTTTGTCAGTATGGAACCAGCAGTGATGGATATGGATAATTAGTTCAGGCACAACAAAACTGATTGTAATATTACCAATTGGAAGCTATTACTAGAAGTAGTATAGTTATAGTTGTGTAATGGTTTATAAGTGATGGTAATGTCCTAACAGATAATTGAGCTGACTACAGACAGTTACAGCATATGAATCTGTAAACAACACCTTGTGGTCCTGAACAGTGAAAAATCTTGATTCTGAAACAAACATTTCAATTCAGGATGATGTGATAGTTTAATTTTTTATTAGAATGTTGCGTGGAAATAGAATGACTTGATTTTGCTGGCATAAAAGTGGTTTTAAAAAGGAATTTCTCTGTCTGGAATAGAAAAGCATTATTTTTCAGTAATTGTTTTGTGGCTATTTTATAGAAAAACTACTGTAGAAGTGCTGATACATTACTGAGAGAAGAATATACCTCATGCTCACTAATATTGTCCTTGTGATATTCATAGCTTGATTCATGTGTTGCTGTGTAAGATGAGACACCTGAGCAGAGTAGCCAAGTACATCTGTCGGAACCTTGTACTGAGCATGCTGAAATCAAACACAAATACAAGTTTTGTGCAGATGGATTTATCACTTACTAGTGTTCACGTGTGTTTGTGTCTGTGTTGTGAGTTATGTTCAGTATCTGCTGGTAGGCAGGGGAGGACAGGCCCCTGCCTGCTGTGTGTGTCATCCTGGGAAGTGCTCCTGCAGTCTGTGAAGTTTTATTTCCATGCAGACCATCCCCGACCTGCCTTTCACTTCTGTGTTTCCAAGAACAGTGCTGAGGGCAATCTCAGACCTGTAGGATTTTTATCCTCTTATGCCTGGAAGTTCAAGTGCTTTCAGACTGTTGTTACTGTAAAGGTTGAACTGGCCGATACTTTCTGGCTGGACCTTAATAGCTTCTCTGATTTGAGTTTCATATGAGGAGGTACAGAACTTCTCATCCCCTTTGGCTTGTCTCTTTGCTCTCCCTAACAGCAGCTAAACATCTTTCTTACCTGAAATCACACAACTGAGGTATGTGCAGTACTTCTCTTACCCCTCACATCCCTCTCCTCTCTCCCTCTTGCTTATGTTCTGTTCTTTAGCACACTCAGGGGATGACACTTGGATCCAGGTGACACCTTTAACTCAAATGCACAAATCTCAAAATGTGACTTAGAACAAAATTTGAAGCTATTTACAGTTGGTCGAATTATTGGGAAAATGCAGCCAAAATTGTGGACAAAGGATGATTTTGGGGGTGCATACATTAATTTTCACAAGGTGTTAAAACACAGTTTATAAAATACATATAAAACCTCTTCTTAAGAGGAATTGTCTTATTTTCTGATGCAGTTGGAGATGAGCAGGTATTTTAATTATACACAGACTTTTCATTAGCATTGCCCATTGATTCAAATAGAGGATTTTAGTCTCAGACTTGACTCATCTATTCAGTGTTGCTATAAATTGTAGATGCAAACATTGAAAGTTGTGTTCTCTTGCAAGAAATTAAAAGCTAACATTTTGCTGTCACTGTGCTGCTTGTTTCAGAGATGTGACAGTGCCCTCTCTCGGCTTTTCCCAACAGCTGGATTTAAAAAAAATAAAATACTGAAATAATTTGCAAGGTGTGCAATAAAGAGTAAAACTCATTGACATTTGTCTCATTTGATAGAGTTAATAAATGTAAGGCAAACAGAGAAGAACAGCACAGTTTGTGATGCTAATATCAACCCCTTTGTTGCTGTGCCATTATTTTGGATGTAACTCAAAATACACTTCTTGGTTTCATGTCTTTGTCCATGTCAGAAGTTTCTGTACATGTTGTTGTCAGGAGATTCCAGTCGTGCAGTGATTCAGCTAAGGATCTGGGGTGAATCCAGCCGTTGTCTGGCAGCTAACAGGGTGTTCAGACACTGACTGCAAGTCACTTTCTGTCAGCCTTGGCTGTGGTGTGTCCGTTTGTTTGCAGAGCAGACCCATGTCCATGCAATCCAGCACGATTCCCTGGAAGCTGCCCAGGATAAACTAATCAGAGAGCCCCCCCTGGTGTCGGAAAGTGTCCTCGGATATTAAATTTATATCAATCACAGGAAGTCTTGGCAATCAAACTAGTCACTTTTTCCCTTCACATCTGGACGTAAATTATTTTTTGGTTGCAAAGGTCACAGGAATCATGGGTAGGGCATGGAATGAGGGCCATGGAAAACATGGGAAAGGAAGAATAAAACTGTATTTCCACCTTTTTAGAAATGGTTATTTTTAAGTGACCTGGAATGATGCCAAACCATACAACAGTGGGGATTTTTTTTCCTTGAAGTTTACATTTGTTGCTGAATTAAATGTGGCTTTAAGATGCTTTGGTTTGGAACTTTTTATGCCATTAGATCTCAGCTTGGCATTTGTAAAAGCTTTCTCTTACTTGCTGAGAACAATAAGTTTACTGCGGGAGGGGTTTAGAAATAGAGCATGTTGCTGTACTTAGCAAGGCTTAACTGCACCTTCTTTCTTTGCCATGACTTAATTTCCCTTGTTTTCCTTCCGTTTCCCCCTTTCAATGCACTCCTGCTTTAGCCATGTGCTCTGAGCTCTTCCATAGCTAATGCCTTTTTTTTTTTTTTGCAGTAAATTTGCATCTCTTCATGCATTTTCCATCCTTAAATTCTTTGCTCTAAGAAATTAAGGAAATGCTTCACTTTATGCTTCCCCCTCCCAAGTCTCCATCAAGTCTCTCAAACAAATGCTTAAGGAGGGTTATAAAAACAAGCAGAACCTTTCCATTCAGCTCCTGCCTTTCCTTGCCTGGGACAAGGGAACTAGTGTACTGAAGCTGCAAACCCTGAAGCTTGTAGCTTTCAGGTTGTGGGTTTTTTCCATGCATCTGGGAAATAAAGATGGCATTGGTTTACTTTTGTATGTACAGTAAAGAAAATATCAGAAACAGAAGCTTAAGGTGCGTTTAGCATAAATGAATTTGTAAAGCCTTAATTGCTGTTGTTCCTAACTGCTGCTGTGTTCCTACATGCTTTTTTAATACAGCTAGGTTCTGTTAGCTTGCTGATTATTTATTCAGTCGTGTAGCTTACACTCTCTTTAGACACAAAGTTGAATAA